ACGTAACTTACCAAACAGCCCAAAACTTGTCCTGTTTGAGAGACAGCTATTGATGACACTCTTGATCTACTTTGACGAATAACTGAACCAATCAGATYACAGCAAACCTGTTGATTTTCCTAAAGAGRGCAACACATGCACTGTTRGTATYTTTAGAGTGCTTYGAGCTTTGTTGCWGAGCTAATGATGTCAAGGTGAAGAAAGGTGAAGTCACATACAGTAACTTGACAAAATAATGTTGACTTGGTTCTTAAATTCAGGGGGTCTTTCGTAATAAGATATTATTATTATTATTGGAATGCTAACATCWTAAAAATTAATACGACTAAATTAAAGTCAATTTAATTTTGTTTCGTGTAGGCAAATTAATATACAAAATATAGCAGTCAGATTAAAGCATGTTTTTTGTAAGCAACACAAAAATTATTTTAATATTGCCACTAATTAAGTCACACCATTTAGAAGCCATTTCCACATTAATATTCTTTATTTTTTTGCAATTATTACACCACTGTTAGGTAGTAAGGTAAACAGTGCAACCATAGTCTACATGTAMAAAAAATATCTGCAAGTATGATCGTGCGTGTGATATCTTCAATCCAGTAAATAAAAATCTGTCACAAACCTGATTGGCTGATGTATTTTCTCCAACATCTAAGTTAGCTTCCTCAGMAGTGCGCTTAGTGGCAGCAAAAACTGTCTGTTCTTTCTCTGTTGTTGAATCATTATTAGAACTAATTTGCCAAACTCTTAGTTCACTGTCTCCACAGCCAGTGATAAGCCTTGTTTCATCTTTGGCCAGGGCAAATCCCCAAACCTGGATAATATTTATTAACTGCGGTTAATTTTCGTGGAATAGACAATAATGATTACCGGTAATTCTTTAAGTCAATTGTTATCATGATTATGGTACCATATTGAATTTCTGAGAGAAATACAGTCACAGATCAGAAGTAAGTCCCCTATAATGTGTTCCCATCCCTTTATCATAGTTCTACATTGTTTTTGGCAACCCAAACTAGATTATGTATAGTTTAAAACACGAGAGAGGGAGAGAGAGACAGAGAGAGAGTGTGTGTGTTTCATCAGGTATAAAGATTTGAGCTGAAGTGTTTTAAACAGCTTAAAATACTCCAACACTAATTTGAAACTCAAATCCATTAAATTTCTTGGAGAAATTGCCATAAAAATATTAAGTGATGGCTGTTTATTAACTGCTATCCTGCATTCGTCAATGATCAGGTATTAATCCTGAGACCTTTGCTTTATATAAAGAAATACTAATAAGGAGTGTTTTATCAGATATAAATAAGGTCCATGCATGTGAACCCGAGTAGGCTCATTCTATTGGCCTTGTAATAACATGAGTTTTGTATAGCTCAGCTAGTAAATTCTTCTCACTTTTATGTTTGATTCTATTTTAATT